CAGGACCAAGCTGCTAACAGGACCAAGCTGCTAACAGGATCATGCTGCTAACAGGATCATGCTGCTAACAGAACCATGCTGCTAACAGGACCAAGCTGCTAACAGGACCATGCTGCTAACAGTAACAGTGTTTTATACTATTTTTATTTCAATAGCTTTTTATTGTTGTACAATATCTTATCTTTATATACAGCTAAATCATTTTCTTTCGACGCTCCTGAGACAACAGTCTCCTTCTCTTTCTGTGCTCCATGTTCAGTGAGCTACACACCATGATACCAAACAGCACAGTGACTACTTTTCATCCTCTAAACAGACTGAATGATCACAAGATTGACGACACCCGAGAAGCTGATTACAGGACACGCTTTTACTTTAACACATCCCTATGGTCACATTCTCTTTCATCTTTACTCGGGGTATCATCCTTTTTGTCAAGGTCAGTTTCATTAGTTTGTTTTTCAAATTATTTAATGATGAACCAGAATTCAAAAGCAATGACTGATTATCAGTAACTAATTTTTAATTTTACTTTTTTACTTTTGTCAGGTTCAAGTTATTTCAGTGACCTTTGGGGACTTTTTAAATAAAAGGCTACCAATAAAATCTGTCTGCTCCTGAACAAATTTTATAGAGAACCGACCCAGTCAGGATTTAAAACTATGTGAGGAAATGGCAATAATCACTCACTTTCAAGCAGTCCCTACAGGTCCCATTTGGTCCCATTTGACTAAATCAATAAAGTTTTCCACCAAACCATGAGTATCTCAGATACACTGGCTGGGCAAAAAAAAGTCTCCACCTGAATTTAACTAATCAAATAGGTACGAGCCTCCTATTAGATAATTACTGCACGGGTGATTATCTTTCAGCTGCAACAAGTTATTTAACCTCAACTGGTGCAATGAGTTGCTTCTCATTTCTTCAACAACCATGTTGAAAGACGCATCATGTGGTCGTGGAAAAGATGTCAGTCTGTTTGAGAAGGGTCAAATCATTGGCATCAAGCAGAGAAAACATCTAAGGAGATTGTAGAAACTACTAAAATTGGGTTAAGAACTGTCCAACGCATTATTAAAAACTGGAATGATAGTGGGGACCCATCGTCTTCGAGGAAGAAATGTGGCCAGAAAAATATATGGCCTGCTGTACAAGCCTGTGGGGGCAGTCTATGATGTGGGGTTGCTGCAGTTGGTCAGGTCTAGGTTCAGCAACAGTATGTGCTCAAAGAATGAGGTCAGCTGACTACCTGAATATACTGAAGGAACAGGTTGTTCCATCAATGGATTTTTTCTTCACTGATGACACAGGCATATTTCAAGATGACAATGCCAGGATTCATCGGGCTCAAATTGTGAAAGAGTTGTTCTGGGAGCATGAGACATCATTTTCACACACAGCATGGCCACCAGAGTCCAGACCTTAACCCCATTGAGAATCTCTGGGATGTGTTGGTGAAGGCTTTGCACAGTGGTCACAATCTGACATCATCAATGCAAGATCTTGGTGAAAAATTAATGCAACACTGGATGGAAATAGATCTTGTGACATTGTAGAAGTTTATTGAAACAACACCACAGTGAAGGCATGATGTAATCAAAGCTAAAGGCGGGCCAAGGAAATGTTGTGTGACTTTTTTTTTGGTGGCGACTTTTATTTTTGGCCAGCAGTGTATTAATCTGTTCTAAAGTGAGCTCCTTCCTAAAGCTGTTTGCAGTAATTAGTTTCCATGTGACCTGTTCTGAGACACTTCCTAATCTGTACTGATGGAAATAATTAAACAATGAACTTTAACAACTTTATTCACATATTCTGCCTCTCTAGATGACACTGAAATATAATACTGCTCAAAAACAAATTATGTGACATAAAAAAAATCTATGGGTTTTAAAATTTATTTTCAAAGTTGATTATCAATAATGAAACAGTATTATTATTATTTTTTGGTAATGAACTCAAAGTTATTTGTCATGAAGTTGTCATGAGTTATTGTCATTTGCTTGTTTGTTTCTATTGTACAGCACTTTGGTTAGCCTTGCTGCTGCTTTAAGTGCTCTATAAATAAATTGGGATGGTATGGAATCATAATTTAGAAATTCAATTTTTAATAAAAATAACACATTTTATTTAAGTAGTGTCTTTCAGAACACTCATGGACACTGCACAGCTAAAACCATCATAGAGCAGAAAAATAAGGTGGGAATTTTTAAAAATACATTAATCAAACATTAAAATTTAAAGTACACCTGAGTAAATAACCATAATTTCCACCGTACATGTTGCACCGCCGTATAAGTCACATCAGTCCAAATATGTCTAAAAAAGTGGAAAAATCTATAAATATGTTGCGTCACCGTATACGTCGCATCTATCATGCGTCACCACAGACAACCCAGAAATGTGGGCCGGTGTTGTGCCAAAAATCGATTGGCTGCCAAATGGTGGCCGCGGGAGCGTGCACAGGAGGACTTTAACAAGAATTCAACAAGATTAACACTTAAAAACAATTATTTGTTTGCTCAAAATTATAACAAAGTGTGTCTCAGTCTACCTTTTACTTAATAAACGCACTTTGATGGTCAAATCAGCTGCATTTCAAAACCTGACTCACGAAAGCGGCGGGCACGCCCACAGGGACGAGCCATGTTCATTTATTTGAAATTTAATAAGATAAACCCATAAAAACAATTGTTTGCTCGACTTTATAGTAAAGGTGTGTCTCAGTCTATAAAGTTTGCTTAATAAAAGGACTTTAACGGTCAAATCAGCTGTATTTGAAAAGTATTCGGTGCTCCGGGTGCACGCAGAGGGAGGAAAAAAAGGAAGGAGGAATGCTACTCGTTTCTTCTAAAATTAACAAGAAAAGCACCTAAAACAATTGTTTGTTTGCTCAAAATTATAACAAAGGTGTGTCTCAGTCTAACATTTGCTTAATAAATGCACTTTAATGGTCAAATCAGCTGCATTTTGCCGGGGTGGTCCAGCTGGTTTGATGGTCGCTCCAATCAGCGAGCAGAATGAAGGTGGAGAGACTATGGCAAGTCGATTGCGTCATTAATAGCTGGTGAAGATTCTCAGTCATCCAGGACATGGTAAATTCAAGAAAGTTCAAGACAAAAACGATAAAGTATAAAGTATAATAAATAAAGTCCAGTTGCTTTTGTCTTGAACTTTTTTGAATGTGTCATTATAGCCACATTTACCTATTACATGATACAATGGCATGCCATACTACTACTACTGCTACTACTACTATGCTGCCATTAAGTGGATGAAAATGGTAGTGTTCAATATTTTCAGTCAGAATGAATGAAAACGGTCATATCTCAGCCAAAAATTGGTTTATAAAGATGGGGAAAAATCCATAAATATGTTGCTTCGTTGTATAAGTCGCAGGGCATTTAAATTATGCAAAAACCTGCAACTTATAGGCCAAAAAATACAGTAAGAGAGGCAGGCTGATTAAAAGAGTTGGGTTTTCAGACCTGTTTTGAACAGTCAGAGAAATGTGATGTTTCGTATTTCAGAAGAGGAGCAGAGCGACTGCCCTGCGTGTATGTGAAAGAATACTCCACTCGTAATGAAGTCAAACAGCTTTTGTTTTTAAAAGCCAAAAAGATACATACGTGTGATGCCAGAGCTTGAAGAGGTGGGCTCGTACGTAAGACAGCGAGCAGGGAGGATACTGCTTCACCATCTCCAGATACTCCTCAGCCATTTCCCACACCGGGGGGCTGCGGCCCTCAAACAGTGCTGGGTTGTGGAGGTTCCCCTCTGGGATCAACACAAGACACAAATCATCATCTGAAGCCCAGAGTACCACTGCTCTGTTTCTGTATGGGACCATGCTCGGACCTGCACTCATGACCCCCTGCACTCCTGTTTCCTGGATGCAGCGCGACACATCACTCAGGTGCTGGATGTTGCCGTTTGCAAACACGGGAATATTTACCGCCACCCTGGAACGAAACCAGCCCAGAAAAACAGAACCAGCAAAGAAATAACATTATGAATTATCTTTGGACTTTGTTCTTGTGCTGACACCAGCGAATACAAAAGGAGTGGGTTAGTGATGAAACTCACCGCACTGCTTTGATGTGCTCCCAGCTAGCGACGCCCGTCATGGCACCTTTCTGATCTTTGGTTCGGCCGTGCACGGTCAGCAACTGGAGAAGTTCAACAAAGCAACACGGTACACTTCATGTGGTTATGTGAATGTAGCTGGTGGACAAAAATCTTCAGTGCTATGAAAACTAATCCTAATCCTCCAACAGATTTTTGCTTTGTTATTTTCTCAGACTAAAATCAAACTAATGTAATAAATAGTCAAAGCCAGAACACAAAACGCAGTTTTTAAATAATGATTTAGTCATCATTTATTCCTCAGTGAGCTCCCACCTGACAGCCAGCTTTTTCCAGCATTTGAGCATATCGAACCGTCTTTTCAATCTCCTCGAAGACTCGGATCTTACATGTGACCGGCACCGAGAGCCTTTCGTTGGCTAACCTGACTGACAAACAAGTAGAAATGACAGGTTTTTAAAACTTCGTAAACAAAACGACGTACATAAAATAATACATTAAAAGGTTTTTTAACATACAATATTTTATGTGTAGCTTTTAAAGAGTGTTTTGTAAGAGACTGGTCCCGTTTCTGTAGAACCAAACTACTGGGCCTGTTTTGTGATCCAAAACAAACGTTAATTACAGACTTACCCATCTTTTCTAATAACGCCCATTCATCCTGGAGGAAGACTCCATAGTGTCCTTAAAACACACCCACATCTGCTTGGTTAGTTCTTTTTCTTTGATCCAAGTTCAGAAATAGATTTGCATGAAGTGAGAGGTTGTAATGTTCTGTGCATGTACCTCTCTTTGCTATCATCTGCGGACAGCCCAGGTTCAGGTCAATGGCATCACAGTAATCCTGAGCCAGGAGAGCCGCTTCGAGGAACACATCAGGGTTGTTGGCACAAAACTGACAGAGATGAAGACACACTGAATTATATCTGTCATTATACAAGAAACTGGATTAAAGTCAGATGCAGTTTCACATTACCCTGGAAGATAAAACTGTGTCAACTAGGCCTGTCCCGATAATAAATTTTGCTGGGCGATTAATTGTCTCAGAAATTATTGCGATAAACGATTATATTGTTTAAAATTTGACAATACTTAGTAATTATTGTCAAATTTAAGAAAAAATGTTGGTTAAATTTTGTGGAGTACCTTTTTTGACCACTGGATGGCAGTATAGGACTGTTTGAACAGAAGGATGGATAGTGAGGGAGTGAGCAGCGTGTCTCTTTAAGAAAAATTGGAGGGACACCCCTTGACGTGACATGGGCTGTCACTCTTTCCTGTTTTTCAGTTCTGAAAATGGCGGACGCTAGGTGTGGTTTGAGCTCTTTAACAGAGCATTTTTCACACAAAGCTTTTAATAAAAATCAGTAAACAAGTTCTCAGCTTCTTTTTACAGAGAAAAACAACTTTTTACACGAAGGCACGAGTTTCAACTGTGAATTTTAGAGCTTCGACAAGACGGAAGTTTTTGCCTGTTAGCTTAGCTTCTCGGCTTAGCTGCTTGTAACGATCCAAAAACGTGATTTTGGACGGTTAAAACAGATTTTAAAGAAAAAAGAGAAAGGGAGGGGTCAGTGAAGAACACCGGAGCTGAGCATTTTATCATCCAGTGTCTTCAGTAGAAAGAGAGAGACACGAAGAAACGATAAAGCTGATAAATGAAAATGAGGTCGATAATTTTCATTTATCATGCGATTAATTGATCTATTATTTACTGCAACAGGCCTAGTGTCAACACCTGTGTGACACTTCATCCTGTGTAGGCCCTAGGACTGTGGAGTCCTGGTCCCGTCATGTGGTAATGTGTGTGTGTGTGTGTGTGTGTGTGTGTGCGTGCGTGTGTGTGCGTGTGTGTGTGTGTAACTTTGAGGGGAAAATTAATGTGGATTACAGAGTCCACAATGGACTATTGCCCTACTAGGGCGGCTGTGACTGAGTAGTTAGAGCAGTCGTCCTCCAATGCGAGAGTTGGGGGTTCGAATCCACCAGCAGTCACATGCTGAAGTGTCCCTGGGCAAGACACTGAACCCCTCATAGCCTCTGATGTGTGTCCCATCAGTGCATGAATGTGATCTAAAGCACTGATTAGTCTCTTTAGAATTAGCTTTGTAGAGATCTAGTATAGAGCTGTATGAATGGGTAAATGAGGAACAGATTGTAGAGTAAAGTGCTTTGAGTATCTTGAAATAAGATAGAAAGGCGCTATATAAGTACAGTCCATTTACCATTTACTATTCTGGAACAAGGCAAGACAAAACAAAATGTGGAAAAAGTGCAGAGCTGTAAATACTTTGTAGAAAGACTATATAGTAAGTACATTTACAGTGAGGAAAATAAGTATTTGAACACTCTGCGACTTTGCAAGTTCTCCCACTTTGAAATCATGGAGGGGTCTGAAATTTTCATCTTAGGTGCATTTCCACAGTGAGAGACATAATCTAAAAAAAAAAAATCCGGAAATCCCAATGTATGATTTTTTTTTATAATTTATTTGTGTGTTACTGCTGCAAATAAGTATTTGAACACTTTTGAAAATCAATGTTAATATTTTGTACATTTGCCTTTGTTTGCAATTACAGAGGTCAAAGGTTTCCTGTAGTTTTTCACCAGGTTTACTGCAGCAGGGATTTTGGCCCATTCCTCCACACAGATCTTCTCTAGATCAGCCAGGTTTCAGGGCTGTCACTGAGAAACACTGAGTTTAAGCTCCCTCCAAATATTTTCTATAGGGTTTAGGTCTGGAGACTGGCTAAGCCACTCCAGAACCTTGATATTCTTCTTACGGAGCCACTCCTTGGTTCTCCTGGCTGTGTGCTTTGGGTCATTGTCATGTTGGAAGACCCAACCACGACCCATCTTCAATGCTCTCACTGAGGGAAGGAGGTTGTTGCCCAAATCTCACAATACATGACCCCGGTCATCCTCTCCTTAATACAGTGCAGTCGTCCTGTCCTATGTGCAGAAAAACACCCCCAAAGCATGATGCTTCCACCCCCATGCTTCACAGTAGGGATTGTGTTTTTGGGATGGTACTCATCATTCTTTGTCCTCCAAACACAGCGAGTGTTTGGAGGACGAAGAATGTTAAAATGTTAAAATGTTACATTTACTCAGATTAAACTTTTGATCTGTCATCTATGTTATACTACGAATAAAATATTGACATTTGCCATCTCCACATCATTGCATTCAGTTTTTATTCACAATTTGTTCAGTGTCCCAACTTTTTTGGAATCTGGTTTGTATATA